TTATTCATATTTCAACAACAGTATTCAAACATATATCAACAGCAAATTTGAAATATATTAACAACGTATTCAAAATGTTCACTATATCATTAGTTTAAGTACATGTTTCGAAAATATTGTAAAATTATTTTATTCATATTACAAAAATATTTACTACATTATATTAGTTTAAGTTTAAATTTCAACATATATTAAAAATATTATAACATTATTTTATTAATATTATAAACATATTGCGTATATTAAAATATGTAGAATATATATATACCATCTGTTGATAACATGTAGTGATTATGTCTAACATATTTTGTGAAAACCAGAGGTTTCTGCAAAGAGTTTTATTAGCATGAAAATTTTTTGAAAATTCAGTATAATAGATTTTCAGTTTTTTCGATATACCGGATATCCTGATAAACCGGATATTTTTTGTGGAACCAATAGATCCGGTTTATCGAATTTCACTGTGTATACTGCTTTTTGATATTATAACTCAAATGCTTTTTTATTATCAACACTGATTCCAATTCATAAATCATTAAATTTTCTAAGTAAGTAAATAGAATTGAGTTATTTCGATTATATAATAAATTATTAATTTTCTTGCAAAATTATATTTAGTTCATTTAGATAACTTAGGACTTTTTGCTTCCCTATTTCATCATTAACACTAAAAAGATGAAACATATTATTAACTATTATATTAAAGTTATCCCCAAATTGTTTAATTGATTACATTGAAGATTCTATTTCTTTTGTATTCATCATATTAAAGTTTTGAATAATCTGAGATAATTCTTTATGTAATGAATTAGTGCTTTCAGAAATTCTAACATTTAAATTAGGAAGTTTATGGTTTTTTGATGATTTGATATTATTGTTATCATTATATATATGAAAAACTTTTATTACTATATTTCCTTTTATTATAATTGCTTTTAATTCATCAACTACTTGATTGATAGTTGGACGATTATCAGGTTCAATATTCCAACAATCTACAGAAAATTATCTTTTAATTAATTAAAATCATGTGGCTTATAAATCATATAAATGCAATTTTATACTTACTAGTATAAATTTTTATATATTCTTCAGGTGTATCGTGAGTGGGTGTCTCACTGAGGCCTGAATACCTAGAGCCAAACCAACATCATACGGTATATCATAAAAAGGATGCTGACCACTGGATTTCTCCCATAATAATACACCAATGCTGTAACATCCTTTTTTTATTTAATACAACGCTGTTGTACTTCTATAAAACTTTTTGGATCAATATAAGTAATTAATCCATATGTTTTTGATTGAGACCACAATTCTTTTTGATAAGCCAAAATCTGCTAGTATAACAGTATTCTGATGAATTAACACATTATTGGAGTGTTATATTATTACGTTAAAAATAGAATAATTAAATTAAGACAACTAATAATTAAAATACATTACGTAATCATAATGAGTTGTAAATTAATTACCAAATCACGATGCACGATCCCAAACATGATACTGCACAAACCAGTTGGAATGCAAGATTTAATTTATCATTCCAAGCGAGATTTTTTAAAAATTTTCTTTCAAATATTTTCGGAGAGTACCATTGCTTGTCGGCATATTCCATTACTAACATATACTTTTTTTCTTTGGTTTTCTTTTAAAAGAAAAAACATTCGCGAATTAGTTAATTAATCACAGTTTATTATAAAAAAAATAAATTTACTCAAACTTTTGATACCTTTATTGGAAGTTGTAGTTGTAACACCATAAAAACGGATAACATTATTATGAAAATCAACTTCACGCTGAAGTTGAATCTAGCAATGAATAGAAGTTTGTTGATATCAGAATTATACGTATTGTATATAAATTGAAATATGCTCGATGTTAAAATTGCCTTACGAGCAATTGCAAAGCCTCCGGATCAAATTCATAATATTTAATAAGTTTTTTTAGAAATTGCTTCTTCTATCCAATTATGCTCATTTGAATTTTTAGGCGTCATTAGAATTGTTGGGTATATACAAAAATGTTGCTGCGGAATTCAATTTTACACTTTAAAAAAAAAAAATTGATAATATTTATAACAAATGGTGTTACCGGACATTTCTATGTGCTGATCTTCAGTATGCAGGACTGCGGCTGAAAAGATCGGCGTAGCAAAGTTGTTCAATTAAATTAAAAAGATTACGTGATATAAAGATATAAAATAAACTAAAAAAAACTGAATAATTTAATAAATAAAAATAAATTATTGATCTCAAAAAAAAAAAATTCGATGATTGGATGGTCTAATAATGTATTATCAATTATTAATTAAGTACAATCATAATCTAGTTAATTAAAATTTTGCTATTTTTTGGGTCTGTTATAGAACGAGGTATGAAATCGACATTCTTTTATTGCGTTCTCTTTCTATTAGTTAAGCTCAAATAGAAAGAAATTTTCAAGTGTAAGTTAAATAAAAAAAATATTTTGATTATTTAATATAGGATTAATTGTTGTTGTTGAAAATACTGACCAATTGAAATGTATATTTTAAACAATTAATATTTAAAATGGTAATTTGGTAATTTTTTATAGATGTAAAGAAATTACACCAAATATGAGTTCATATTTGAGAAGTTTAGTACTTCATAAATACACGCTTTTCTTCCAGTATCCCAATTATGGTTAGATTAAGCTAAATTTTCTTACAAATTTCAAGTTTGAAAATTAAGTGATTGGCTTGCAAAAGAATTATTATTTAAATATTAACAGAAATTATATTTTCACCAACTTTCATTGCTGAAATTTTCCTTATATAAAATACATTCCTTCCTTGTCATTATCAAGCTTTAAACTTTTATAATATTCAGTCAACATTTTAAGACATTTTATATTAATTAACTTGAAACTCTTGATCACTTGGTTTTAATAATCCCTAATGAGAATAGCATTTTGTTATATCTATGCTTTGCTTTTTGTTCACTTTTATTATCGTATTATCATAAAATCCAATAAAATCGTTTAATCCAAAATTAACATATATTTCTTTAATCTAATCAATTTTAGAATTATTTTTTGAAACTATTGATCCAAATACCCTATTATAATGATATTTCAAAATTTACATATATTTTACAAAAATCCATTAAACTTGTATATTATAGTAAAGATAATTAGTATATCATTTATAAGAATTGAGCAAATAATTTAGTAAACATTATTTAATACTCTTAATAATCAAATTCTTTTATCATTAAAGGATTCATTCTAATAAGCTTAAGGGCCATGAGATTAGAGATTAGTACAATTTGTTTTACTCGACTAATTAAATAAAAGCATTGCAGAATATTTAAGTTTGATTCTTGAAAACTTTGTTGGTAAAAAAATGGTTTTGTATGTTATTATGTTTAATTCTCTTTATTATTTAGTCAAGTGATTATATTAATACATATGATTTTTAACAATATTGCAATAAATAAAATTTGATAATTTATTTTAATAATAGAATAAGTTACAAAAAGAAAAAAAAAATTACAAGCTACTAAGAAACTTGTGAAATATTTTACTACTCATACTTTAGTGTTTAAACAATTCTAAGAAAATAAAGAGCAATCTTTGTTGAATGCATAAAATCAAATATCACTTAAAAAAGAATACTATGCATTTCTAATAAATTTCATCTGCTTCAATTTCTAAATAATTAAGTAAATATATTAATCAAAATAAAATAAGTTGCAAAATTACTTTTTTTTTGTATACATTACATACCTAATGAATAATGATTTCATTTTTTAATAATTCAAACTTTTACTTATTGGCATTTCATTCATTTTCAAGGATTGTTATTCTCAATTGGTGCATTTATAAATTCCATTATATTGCACTTTAACTCTTCACTAATATTTTCTATTTCTTTTCCATAAGAAAGAATAATCCATTCTTCAATAATATTTAAAACTTCTTTAGAAGATGGCCTTTTTAATGGATCTTCATTCCAACATTTTTCCATTAAATCTATATAGCATTGTGGAGTATTTTCAATAATTTTAGGACGTTCACCTTTACAAATACTTAAGATAAGTTCAGCATCATATGCTCTACCATCAAATGGTCGAACTCCGGATGTAAATTCCCACATAATGATAGAAAAACTATATATGTCACTAGCTGGAGTATAAGATTCGTGCATAAAAACTTCAGGTGCCATAAATGGTAAAACACCATAAATACTATCTTTTTTCAAAAAAGGTTTTACAGGCTGACATATTTCAAAATCGCTAATATAAACTTTATCTTCTTCATCTTCTTTATCTTTATGAATTAAAATACTGGCACCATGAAGATCACAATGAATAATACTTTGTTTATGTATTTCACTCAGTCCAGAAATAATTTGGTACAACATATATAATTTTTGTTTCCAATTATATTTAATTATTTTTGTTAAGCTTCCATGTAAATTACCCTTATTTGCATAATCCATTATTGCCATGTATTTCAAAGTATCTGGATCTTTTGTACATCCATAAAGATTAATAATATTATTTGAATTTAAGCAATTTTCATGAAATTCCAACTATAAAAAATAACAATAAATATTAGCATAAATAAATTATAATTTAGATTAAAAAAAAAATTAAATAATATACTATCATACTTTATCTAAAAATTCATACAAATTTTCATTTAAATTACTAGGACATTTAAGCATCACTTCTTTATCTCCATTATTATTTAACAAAATAGCTTTGAAGCTAGTACTTACTTCACTTTCGTAAAGATGTTTAATATTTTTAAATTTTTTAAAAGGAATCCATTTTAAATTTTTTTTAAGAATAAATTCATCCATAATTGCATTTCCACTTTTTCCAAATCTATAAATTTAAAATTATATTACAGTTCGTATAAAATTTATATTAAGATTTAAAATTAAAAAAAAAGATATTATTAATGCTTACTCTATAATTTAAATAGGAATTCAATATAATATAATTAAAATTTAGTTTTTGTATAAATAACAGATAACCTAAAATTTACAACCTACCAACTAAAGTAAATCACCAGATATTTTATTTAAAAAATTCGGTTAATTAAAATTATAAATAATATAAATATTACCATAATAAATATATAATAATAGAAATAACTAATAACTTACAACCTAAATAATCATCAAATAAAAAATTTAATTAGTTTAAATTATACGTAAATACTACATAAATGTAGGTAGCAGAATTAAATAAATAACTTACTAATATTATTATTATTCCTACTCCTTATATTATTACTCTTTATATTATTACTCCCTAAAGAATTTAGTTAGTCGTAATTATACGTAAACTTAATTCATAAAATATTTAATAATAATTTTAACCTACTCCCTATATTGGCCAAATCATTTTTTGAATAAAGAACTTTGTTAATTTGAGTTATATATAAATAACAGAAATGTAGACCACGCATAACTTACACCCTATAACATTATTAGTTATTAATTAGTCAAGTATTATATTATTTTAAATATAAAATTAATATATAACTTACAATTTTTTAAGGCTTCTTCTGTGAAACCATTAGGTTTATGTGAAGATTCTCCTATAAATAGTAATTGGTGGCGAAATAAATAAATATAAATAAATATGTAAATAAATATATTACTAAATGTAGTAGACGGAGAATCCTTGATGATAAATTAAACTTACTTAATGAAATTTGACTTAGTTGACTTAAAGTTTCATATACTTTTTCAATATCGGGTCTTAACTTTGGTTCGCTATCCCAACATTCCTGATAAAGTTGTTGATATTCTTGGGGATTACCATAAATTGGGTTTTCTCTAAGATTATGATAACTAATATGAGAACCTAGTACATTTCGTGGATAGCCAGGAAAAGGAGGACGTCCGCTTGAAATTTCCCATAATAAAACACCCAAACTAAAAATATCGGACTTTTTATCTTTTTTGTAATTAATAATCTTAAAAAGTTGTGGTTCATTATATTCAGGCATTCCCAATCCATTAGCCGTTGAATTTGCTGAATTAGACGTAGATTCCGATAATTGTTTAGATGCTCCAAAGTCTGTAATCATTAGTCTATTATTATTAACTAATATGTTTTTCGCATGCTATCAAAAAATAAATAAATAAATAAATAAAATAATAGAAAAAGTAAGGTAAGATAATTTAAATTATTATATTACCAAATCTCTATGAATTATATTTTTGAAATGTAAACATTTCAATCCACGTGCAATATCCAAGGCCATCTGAATTTTATCACTCCATTTAAGAAATTTAAAATTATTTTTTAAATATTCTCTTAAATTTCCTTGATTAGCATATTCTAACACCATTATATATTTATTTGATAAGGGCTCTAAAAATAAAATACAATTAATAAATTAAAGGTTAAATTTTATAAAAATTATAAGTAAATATTTAACCTTTTGTAATTCCATAAAATCCAATTACGTTCGGATGAAAACTGACTTTTTTTAAACTCTCCAACTAAAAAAATTATTTTAAATTTTTAGATTATTTTCGAATAAATATAATAATAAAAATAATAATTACCTCCTTAATAAAGTTATTTAAATCATAATCATCAATTGTAGGATTACTTATAAGAGTCTTTAATGCTGCTTTAATTTCATAACTTTTCCAATCTGCGCTTTCTACAATTCCAAATGCTCCTTTCCCAACCGTTTTTACATTGCTAAACTCATTATATTCAATATAATCTATGTCACCATCTTTTCTTTTTATCTTATCAATCCATTCGTTAAATGACGTCATAGTTAGAAAGAATTTTTTTTTTTTTTTTTTATAAATTTACCTGAATTTAAGGTTTTTATATTTAACCAACAAGGATGTAACACGCAAATCATTATCTAATCTGAAACATGCAGGGGTGTTTTGTTACAGGTGACATCCGAGGAGTAAGTTGTTGATCATTCGTTATACTATCATTTATCATTTTTATTTTTTTTTTCATAATGGTAAATTTTTCATTGCTAATATTATGGGAGGTTAGACTTTTTATTTATTTTTTTCCTGCTTTAAGAGTTTTAAAATTTTCAAATAACAATATCTTGCGACCTCCGGAATTTCCCGGTATATGTATTTTTGTTTGTATCACAAAACTAATTTTTTTTTGGTAATACAACGATTTGTACAATAGAAAACCTACAAAAATTTGTGACACATAAATTTACAATAAATTGTTACTCAAATTATTTAAATTGAACACGTGCTTTATTTGCCTTATGCGCATATTAACCGTGACGTTCGATAAACAAAGATAACATTTGATTTAAAGAAAAGGTCTATGGTTTAAATTTTCTGAGGCATTTTCTAATTTGATAAAAGCCTAGAATTTGATCTTTATATGTATTTTTGGCATTATTTTTAGTACCCTTTTTAATATTCTCCTCTTTCTCCTTTTGAGATAATTTGCAGAAAAAAATGATCACTTTTTCAAATGATGATTTTAATGCATTTTTTTAGCGGAAGCCATTGTGTCAGTAATAATCGCACTAAATATAAAGACAAAGCCGAATCACAAGGTTAATTTCAAAATTTTTTGTTTATACTTTTAGAAAGAATTCTAATAAAAAAAATAATTATTTTCGATTTATTACGTAATCTTTAAATGTTATTATATTATATATATATTTTTTTCTTAATTGCGATAAGATAAAATATGAAATACTTTTATGGAACAATACTCCCCGTAAGTTTTTCTTTTATGGATACATAATGTAAATGAGGTAAACATATCGTTTAATCATCCCCATCTGGCGCAGTAAATCCATCCTCGTATAATTAACTTACGTTTTTTTCAATAGATATACTATCATAGTTGTAATCATATAGTTGACTCCTCGTTTTCATATTAATCATCTCTTTTTTTTTTGAAAACAAAAAATGTTTAGATTAGGGAAGATAATAAAATAGATTAAAGAGACATCATTATTAACATATATGAAAGCGGTGATTGAAAAGCTTATTTAAAGTTTATTTGGATGAAAGCGATGATTTTAGGGATGCTGATCATTTTCGATGTAAATTATCAAAGCAATATTTTAAAACTATTCTCTTCGTTCAATTTTAAATGTCAAAAAGGGAACTGAAAAGAATAAATTAAAAAATGGTGATTTCCTTTCTAAAAAAATAACTTGGTTTCGTCTATACTAAACAATAGATTTTTTGGGAATTATGGTTAGATTAAAATACTAATAATACACCCAATTTTTCCATTTTTCCTGATCTAGTTCTTAATTACGATATAATCATTTAGGAGAAAAAAGGAAAAAATACAATTGATATACAAAATATTTCGTAATAAAATTGAGTATAATTGAAATTTATAAATTATTTTAAAAGTATTTATTATTAAAATATTGACGTAATCAAGTAAACAATAAATAATAACTTTAAATTAACCTTGTGATTCATTTTTATTTATATTGATACAATTATTAAATAGTGGCCTCAGCTAAAAATGCATTAAAAATCTTCATTTGCGATAGTGTCATAATGCTCATTTTCTTATGCAATTATAGCAGAAAGAATATAAAGATGATCGTTCGTCTATTATATTAATGGATGTGGGTGTGGTGTTAAATTGACATTTTAAATAATGACAAGAAATTAAAATTCTATTATCGCTGCTTTCAGAATCCTGCTTCACATGCAAATTACTCAGTAAAAAAATTAATTACAAGATGATTACTGGACAAAAACTGAACAATTTGTCCGGCAATTGTCCTGTAATTATAAATCACCTAGTAATCACAGCACACACAAAAATCTGAAAACTGCAATAAATTTAGAAATATGATAAATATGCGCAGCAAATAAAGCACGTGTTCAGTTAAATCACTGGAATGACAAGCAGCGATTTATTGTAAAATTTATGAGACACAAATTGTCTGTTGTGCAGATCATTGTAATCGCTGCAATATAATAATTTGATATATATAAATTTATTTCGGAAAATTCCGGAAATCGCTGAATATCGGTATTGAAAATTTTAAAGCTCTTAAAGTAGAAAAAAATAAAATGTCTAACTTAATATATCTAATATAAGTGAAAAACAAATAATAACTTGTGTGATGTCACCTGTGCTACCATAAACATATATATATAGCCGCCCCCTGCATGTTTCAAACTTAATAATGATCTGCCTCATTTTACTGCTTCATTTTCTTCAAAATAAGAATAAAAATTTAACTGTTTAAACGTAAAACCTAAATTCAATTAATTCAATTAATTATTTTTCCTAACTATGACGTCATTTAATGAATGGATTGATATGAAAATAAATGATGGTGATATACATTATGTTGAATATAATGAGTTCAGTTGTGTGAAAAATGTTGGAGAAGGATCATTTGGAATTGTAGAAAGCGCAGATTGGAAAAGTCATGGAATTAAAATAGCATTAAAGACCCTTATAGATCATTCTTCAGTTGACGAAAATAGTATGAACAAGTTTGTTAAAGAGGTAATATTATTATAATATTATAATTAGGTGTAAATTTTGAAATATTCTTATAATTAAGTTTAATTACATAATTTTATATCAAATAATTTATGTACTATTAGTTAAAGAATTTAAAGAAAGCCAGTTTTCATCAAAACATAAATAAATTTTTTGGAATTTCAAAAGGTTTATATACTTCACGTAAATTTTTTATTTAATAATTTACTAATTTTATTTTATATTAGAACCTTTATCAAATAAGTACGCAATGGTATTAGAATTTGCTAATCAAGGAAATTTAAGAGAATATTTAAAAAATAGTTTTAAATTTCTTCAATGGAGTGATAAAATTCAGATGTCCTTAGATATTGTATGTGGATTAAAATATTTACATTCCGAACAAATAATTCATAGAGATTTGGTAATATAAAATAATTTAAGCATTGTGTCCTATTTTCCTATAAGTCCTATTGATTTATTTATTTTTTTTTTTCTAGCATGCAAAAAACATATTAGTTGATAATAATAGACTAATGATCGCAGACTTTGGAACATCTAAATAATTATCAGAATCTACGTCTAATTCAACAAATTCAACGGCTAATGGATTAGGAATGGCTGAATATAATGAACCACAACTTTTTAAGATTATCAATTACAAAAAAGATAAAAAATCTGATATTTATAGTTTAGGTGTTTTATTATGGGAAATTTCAAGCGGACGCCCTCCTTTCCTCGGTTATTCACGAATTGTATTAGGATCTCATATTAGTTATCTTGATCTTAGAGAAAAACCAGTTGAAGGTACACCTTTGGAATATCAACAACTTTATCAAAAATGTTGGAATGGTGATCCAGATTTAAGACCAGATATTGATGAAGTATATGAAGCTTTAAGTAACATGTCAGGACCTACTAACCAAATTCGGTCACTGTCGTTGCAAATTCGACCATTGTTTCCGCCTGATCTTACTGATTTTTTACGGGTTTTACCAAAACATCGAAAATTTCGTGGATTTAGTGGTTTTGTAGCGTACCGAAAAGCTTGTTTACTACGAGCTAAAAACCAGGGACTGAATTTACCTCTAAGTACAATTTCTTCAATTGCATCCATTTTATGGCGCAATGAATCAGTTGACATAAAGAATACTTTTCTTGATATTGCCAAGCAGGTTACTCATATATATGATTTCCATAACGCACAATTTGGAAATATTTCAAATTATATCATAGAAATAAGACATCAAAATCTCCACTAATCCTAAAACTCATCATCATCTACATTCTCCTTTGAGTTCTTTTTTTGTCTTATTTGTAATGTTATTTTACATATTCACTTTTTTCTTGCTTATTTTAATTTTATCCTACCTACATTGTAGTATTAGTACTAGTAACAGTACTAGTAGTTGTTTTATAAATAATAAACATAAGTATTATATATGAATTATAAGTATGTGTATTGTTATTTTATCATGGTTTTATGGAATAACTACTCATGTTTTACTGAGCTATAAGTTCATTGAAATATAAGAAAATTTAAACAATATTAATTCGTTTGACATGCATAGTGATTTTTTTATTCAGGTAATCTTACTTATTATATTTGCCCATCCTTTTTTTTTAAAAAAAAGATATAATAGAGAAAGATTTAATTAATAAACATAATTTAAATCATTCCAAACTAACATCCTTTCTGGCTAAAAAATTTGAGGGAGAAAGAGAATAACTGAATTTAAACAAACTTAATGATTAAACAGAGGGGATGTCAATTAATTTCTCATAACGCTTTTTCAGGAAATAATTAACCAATTGGATGAAATATACCTCATTTATTTGGTGGTAAAGTTCCAACTAACAAAACTAACAATGTAAAATAGTAATACTAGGATCAGATTACAAATAGTAATTGTAGAAGGATCAAATTTTTTGACGAAACTGTGTATTTATTAAAACATTAATGTTAAACATTAACGGGTACAGTAAAATGAAAATTCTTACTATTGAAGGTATACTATTGAAGGCAAAACAAAAATTAATTTTCGCTGGTAAATTATTGAAAAAACATGATACATATGAATTATTAAATAATAATATTTTGATCTCTTTTGCATAAATTTCATCTTTAACATGGGATGATTACGTAATTTATAAAAAAACAAAGTATATTACAAGAAGTGAATAAATAACGATAATAATAAAATGTTTACCGGATTATTTTGAATTTACATTTTAAAATCTATAAAAGTTAAAATTTTATCAACATAAATCAACGTGAAACTAGAACAACGTCTTTTTTTTATACAGTTGGTGGTAATCCATCTTATATTTATTGGAAGAACAAAAAGTTGAATTATACTACGTAAGTACGTATGCTATGTATATAATACCAATAATATAAGCTAATAATATCTTAAATAAACTTTTTTAAACTAATTGGAAAAATGAATATCAAAGTTTTTTTCGCGTTTAATTTACTTTTAATAATTTATAAAACTATGGTAGTCATAGCAAAAATTCCAAATATGTGTTGAGAATTGTTAGAAGAAATCAACCATGTTACATTGTTACAATATGTTTCTCAAAATTAATTTTCCAACCCTCTAAATTAGTGAATGTAATTTATTTTGTAAATGTGATCATAAATTTCATAAATTTATAGAGGTTTATTTCTGGGGTTTAAAATATAAATAACTTATGCAGAACAGCGATGCAAAATAAAATAAGTTTAATTGAAATTCTATCATTTATGTGCCAGAAATGACGTCATTTTCTTTAAAGCGTATTACGTATCACGTGTTAATTTTATCTCTGTAGTAAAAATTACACGCCAACTTCAACTTCATTATCTAAATTTAAAATCTTCGGAATTCTTATTATTATGAGCAATTCCTCAAAAAAAAAAAGATCGTATGACACGAATATTTATTAAAAATCCATTATTAAGTCTCGTTTCGTTTAAGTTATGAAGTTGCGAATATGAATTTATTATTTTGCGTCTTGAATTTTATTGGTTATTAATATTTTCCATGTAGACAATCCTAAACAAATGACCGGAACCACATGATATATATACGATATACCCATATACGTATATAATACCCTTGAAATTTTTGATTAAGAATTGTGAAGCTTTGTTTTATATATAAAACTGATATAAAATGAAATTTAGATTTTACTAGCAAATTTTAGATCGTAATTGGTATTGTGAGCAAGAGAATTTCTTTTATTAAAATAAATTTTTGTAATAAAGAAATTTTTTTTTTTGAAAATCTTTTTTTTTTTATTAACGTTAATCAAAAAATCAAAGATATTAAAAAATTTTATTCTTCCTCCAGATTAAGAAAAAACGACTGGCTAAAGTTTGGACTCATACTCAAGTAGTTCGAGGTTTAAGTTCTTGGGCGAGTTTTTTACTTTTATTTTTTTTTCATAAATTATTGAGATTTATTTTTATTTTATTTTATTCATTTAATGAGATTTATTATTGAGATTTATTTTATTTTTATTTTTATTTTATTTATTCATTCATTTGATTTTTTTTGTTTTCTCACCAATTTTGGTCACTCAATACGCTATCCTTAATAAAATTAAAAATGAATGTAATTGTGTAATTGCGAATTTGAATACGCCATTCATATGCAGTACAGAATTGATTTATCTCACATTCTCGTGACTAAAATCTCACAACGTACGCCTCAAATTTGACCTTTTTTCTTTTTTTAAAAAACTTTGCTCATTGAACAATGATAAAAAGAAAAAAGATAAACAAACAATACACGTGGTTCTGTCGTACTGGTGAAAAAAAAATTACGTAAACGATTATGAACCTTATTTTAATTGCATACATCGGCTAAATCATTCCGTACCGTTGATTATCGATTTACCGAATTTAAATAGATGATTTTCGGCACATGACTGTGGCTATCGGATAAATACTTGCCTTAAAGTAAAATTTTTCTCTATTCCATTTTTGTAAACCAAATAAAGATGCATGATTCTCAAACAACTTTTACTATAAATGTAAATTTAATTAAATACAAAAATCGAAGATTCCGTAAATTTATCCGTCGATGTTTTAATAAAATTTTTTGTAAGAAAATATATATATATCCTATAGTTCCTATAGTTAATATTCATTATTAAAGTCAACAAAAAATGATTAAAAGAAAATCACTTTTATTATTATTGGTTCCTTTCCTATTATTATGTGTCAATGCTAATACTGCGACACAAAACTATATTTCTAGAGGAGTTGATATAGATCGCTCAAACATACCCAAAAATATTATGTTTGCTTCTTTTCCTGGCGGAAGAAGTCATGTTAAACCAATGTTAGATATTGCTACGATATTGGTTGAAAGAGGTTACAATGTAAGGATTTTTTGTTTATTTAACGTATCTTGGATCGGTTTATTCATATTTTTCATTCTTAATATACCGTATAGGTGATTTTAGTAGCGTCAGGAGAAAATGATACATCAATAGAATACCCAGCTATCAAGCAAATTTCATTAGGTCCTAAAATAGGCTTGAGAGATATTGGAATTGAAGTCAATAACGAAGCAATTACTTTTGATAAAATGTCAAAACTTTTGGAATTAGGCGCAAAATCCTACGAAAGAGTATATGAAATATACAAAAGTGTTGCTGAAGAATATAATACCGACTTATTTTTTTGCGATTTACTGCTAAATGATGCTTGTATAGACATTGCTCACGCCCTAAAGAAACCTGTTGTCGGATTCACTTCAGGACTTCGAAGTAATTACAAAACATTTTTTTTTCCCAATTTTTTATTTTATTTTATATCATTAATAATATTCTTCTATTTTCATATTTTATTTTAGTAATGGATCCTAAGCCATATAAATCTGATCCGATGTTCGGCTGTAGCATTTCATTAGAAAATGCATCAATTTTGGAAAGATTTAGATGTAATTTCATTCAACCTTTACTATTTATTTATTCATTTAATAGCATTATGAATCAAATAAATGATGTAAGAAAACAATTGAATATTGAACCTGGTAATATTGCTCTTGGAAGAGGTGTGAAATCCTCTTTAGTTTTGATTGATACTTTCTTCGGTTTTGAGGTAATTATTAATAAATAAATTATTAATAGTAAAATTGTTTAGGTTTATTAAAAGCGAAGTTTTTTTTTTTAAATCAAACTTTTTTTTCTTACTTATAGCTACCGCAGACTTTACCACCGTATGTTCAGGTAAATGATAGTATTTACTTCTTTACTATACTATTTATGGAATTTGATAAAATGATAATATTAATTTCCCTTTTTTTCATTCTTAGGACATCGGACCGATATTATCAGAAGAATATCCACCACTTTCACCAGAACTTTCTTATTTTATAAATGGGCATGAACGCGTTCTATATGTAGCTTTTGGTACACGTTTCTTTACAACCACTGATAACAACAGTAAACTTTTACAATCGTTTATTGAAGCAATCAATAAAAAAATAGTTGATGGCGTAGTTTGGGCATTAGTTGAGACATCAAAAGATAATTTCCATCCTACATTAAAGTTATCTGATGGTACACAAGTTCAAACTTCACCAATACTAAATAACGAACATCCACATATTCATATTACAAAATTTGCTCCACAATTCACTGTACTTAATCATACCAATACGAAATTGTTTGTTAGTCATGGAGGAGCAGGAAGTTCTCATGAAACTCTATATACTGGTACTCCTGTGTTAGTTTTACCACATGCTGGTGATCAGATAGGTAACGCACAAAAATTGATTACAGCTGGTGTAGCATCATCATTAAGTTTAAATAATTTGGATATTAACGACATTTTAAATAAAATGGATTCATTATTAAAGGATGAGAAAGTAAAGAAAAATTCAGAAAGAATGAAAGTTTTAGCTAAAATTAATAGTAAGAGAAAGTTTAGAGCTGCTGATTTGATTGAATATATGTTACATAGTAGTACTTTTGTAGAAGATTTTAATAATGACTTTTTAAAGGAATGGTTCCCTGCTGATACTAGGATGGGAATTATTAGAGCAAATAATCTTGATATTTTTGCAATTTTATTAATCATCATTCTTAGTATTATCGGGTTTATTGTAGTTAAATTAATTAAATTATTTAGATTTTTATTAATGAATCCTTCGTCCGATGATCGAAAATCAAAAAGAGAATAACCATTTTTTGATTTCATAATTTGAATAATTATTTTATAAATTTTGTATTTTTTATAGTAAATAATATATATATATATATACATTTTTTTTTTTTTAATAAAAAAAATTTTAATTATTAAATTCTTTGATACATATATTTTAAATAGGACATGTTTTTATTGGCGTTTACGATCAGATAATTTAATCGGAAAAACGTATTTGGCCAATGGAGACCCTGAAATCACATGTCTCTTATACTTATAATTGTTAAAACTGCGCCTGATTATTGAGGCATGTCGCACAATTAATTGTGCAACAAAATCGGATATAATTTACCCAGTTCAGCGTAACAATGAAAAAATTTTTTGTTACCTCTCTCCTTTTCATTTTCAATATGACATGTTCAAAAATATTTTCAGGAGATTTACCTGAATTAACATATAAAATTATAAATTATTTTCAGAATGATTATTCAACCTTACATTCATGCATTTTAGTTAATAGATTATGGTGTCGTTTAGCGATTCCATTATTATGGGAAAACCCTTTTTCAATTGGTACCGGAAACTATAATTTTATTAAAATTTACCTAAATAATTTAGATGATGATCTTAAAACAAAATTAAATGAATATAAAATTATTAATAATTCATTACCTTCGAATCTACTGTTCAATTATCTCAAGTTTTTAAAATTTTTGAATATAAACACGTTTATTTTATATGTTGAGAGATGGTTTGAAGTTGCTATTAAAAAAAATACAGTAGCTCGTCCTAATAACTTGACTGATATATGTGTACCATTATTTAAAATTTTTATTGAAAATGAAATAAATTTGTATACTCTTGAAATTAATGTCTCGGGTTACCGTAATTTTGATCTTACATGTTTTGATAAAATTCTTGAGTTAATTTTAAAAAATACAAATTTCATTTTAAATATTAGCAATTTAAATCTTTATGTTAGTGATTACTTTGGAAATATAGGAGCTAAAAATCTTTTATCACAAATTATTAATTTACATAAAAATCTAAAAAAAATTTTAATATGTTATTGTAATTTACCTATATATCAATCATTATTAATATCAAAAGATTCTAATTGTTCAAATTCCTTAAATAAAATCATTTTCTATTGCGTCAATTTTAAATTTATAACCTATTTAGATAAAATATTTGAGCAATTAAATGCTTTAGAATCCGTTCATATTATTTATTGCTCTTTTTTAAATAATAGTTTTATTCAACAAATTATTAATTTAACTAAACCATTAAAATTAAAATCTTTATTTATGAATGATGAAAAGTCGGAATCAAATACTGATGAATCATTACTATTATTATTACAAAAATCTGGTTGTTATTTAGAAAATATTGAATTTGGAAATAGTTGTAAATTAGAACTTGAACAACAAATATTTGAATCAGTTATAAATTATTGTAAAAATATCAAATTTCTTAGATTTGATAGTCAGATTGCTTTTCAAATATCCAGTTTAACTGAAAATATTAAACATAATCTTAATTATCTTTCAATCAATGATGATCCATCAAGTGTTAAAATTAGAAAAAATTCAACCTTATTACAAGATTTAGGAAGAGCTCTCCCTTCTAAATTAGAATACTTAAGTTTAAATCTTTTTATTAAAGTAAATGATTTTATGATATTCTTAGAAGATTCTCAAGATATTGTTATTAATAAATTGATAATAATTCAAAGAGGTTGGGATGATATTTTACATTATATAAAGGAATATATTATGAAGGAAAAAAGAATCAAATATTTAGCTTTCATGAAATTGAAAAATTCTATAGAATTGTATGATTTGAAAAATGAAGTGAAGGAATTCAAGTTACATAATATTATAGTTCAAAATTATGTAAAGTTATATATTAACGCTCATGACTTTATAGTGAATACAGATTAGTTATGATGAATATCATATATGTTAACTACTGAATAATTAAAGTTTCTTTATTATAAATTTACTTTTCTAAAAACAAATTATTATATTTATTATTAAGATTTATTGAAAAATTACTTTTTATTCATGACAATTTCAAAAATTTGAATCAAATGAACCTAGGGTTGGATCAATCCGATTCGATCCAGACCGGACCCAAAAGATTGATTTTTTCGGTCAGAACCGATCCAGGACCATTACCGCAGCTTTATATTTGATTAATTATAATTAATTAAAAAAAAATTTAAGTTATCAAATAATTAATTTATAAACTAAATGTTTAAATAATTCTTAAAAAAAGTAAAAGAGTAAAAAAATTACCGTAAATACCAATTTTTTTTTAATCCCCCGCGTGGCGCAATTTATTAAATTTGATTTCGCGTAATTACAAAAACAATACTTACAATCGGTCATCCATTAAACAATGATGTGAGCATTAAATGGACTGGAATTGCTAATAAAATATGATTAATTTATTGATTTAATAGAATAATGAAATATTTTGTCATTTATAACAGGTTAATATAAAAGGGTGAAAAAAAAAGTTCGGCGAATGTATCTGCTAACCTTAAAAAAATAATTATGCATTTAAGCAATAATTTACTTATTTTACTGCATCATGCAGTAATTAGTCCGAGGACTACGCAAGGACGCAAGGTGATATAGATGTCCGGACGTTCGTCCGGCACGTGACGATGCACAATAATTGTTCAAATCACAATGTCCCAACCAATTGGATGGTGTGGGACATTGTCCCACCAGATTTTCCTTTCGTCCCAGACATCCCAGACAGTCCGAGTGTCCTAAAAATAGAGGTTATAGATCTTTTTTCTATTTTTATCAAAAAAAAAAATTTTTTTCGATAAAAATTTACAATACAAAAAAAATCTTTAGACTCTTTTCTTTTTTTTAAAACCTCTTTATTGTGCGGAATTTCGAGCGCGAACGTGAACAAGAGGTGAAAAACCATAGAAAACGAAACCTAAAGGTACCACATTCTCGACGGCCTAAATATATGAAAATATACATTTATACAATAAAGCACTATAACTTAGTGCGAAAAATTAGAAAAATTGTTAAACCTAACTAAATCTAGAATAGTTTTAATTAAACTGCATTAATCATGTTACACACAATTAATTGAAATGACTAGTACGACAATATCGGAATAATTACTCCGAAAATTGATTCGGCAATAATAATAAAATTTGAAACTTCTCCTTTTCACTTTCTATTACAATATGTTACACAATTAATTGAAATGATTTGTATGACAATATCGGAATAATTACTCCGAAAATTGATATAATTTACACATTTCGGTGTAATAATAAAATTTGACGCTTTCTCTTTTTCAATTACAATATGGCATGTTCAAAAATATTTTCAGGAGATTTGCCTGAATTAACATATAAAATTATAAATTTTTTACAGAATGATTATTCAACCTTATATTCCTGCATTTTGGTTAACAGATTATGGTGTCGTTTAGCGATTCCATTATTATGGGAAAATCCTTTTTCAATTTATGCCAAAAAACCATAATTATATCGAAATTTACTTACTTTATATAAATGATGATCTTAAAACAACATTTTATAAATATAAAGTTATTAATAATTCATTACCTTCGAGTACACTTTTCAATTATCCTAGTTTTTTAAAATATTTGAACACATATGAGTTTATATTTTCTATCCAGAGATGGTTTGGATCTCCTATTAAAAAGGTAGACTTCGAAAATATATCATACTTAATTGATTATTACATAATAATTGATATATGTGTATCACTATTTACAATATTTATCGAAAATGAAGTAACTTTACATACTCTTGAAATTGAGAGTGCAAGTATCATTTATGAGGCTATTTATCCTAGTAACATTCTTGAGTTAATTTTACAAAATACAAATTTCATTCACAATATTAAAAATTTAAAACTTCAAATTATAGATAATAATAAATATATTACTCAAATTATAGATAGTATATCACAAATAATTAATTTGCAACAAAATCTTAAAAAAATTTTAATAAATCGGCCCGGTTTTCTTTTATGTCAATCATTATTTTTATCAAAGGATTATAATTGTTCAAATACTTTAAATACAATCGTTTTCTATTATTGCGATTTTAAAGGTATTAATAATCTAAAAACAGTATTTGAACAATTAAATGTTTTAGAATCTGTTCATATCTTTTATTGTAATTCTTTAAATACTGAATTTACTCAACAAATTATTAATTTAACAAAACCGTTTAAGTTGAAATCTTTATTTATAAGTAAGGTACTAATAGAGATTAAATCATTACAACAATTATTACAAAAATCTGGTGGTTATATAGAAAATTTCGGGTATCGTCTCGATTTATCATTAAATCAACAATTATTAGAATTAATTGCAAAATATTGTAAAAATATCAATTTTCTTAATTTTAATGGACAAGAAAGTGAGATTGTTTATCAAATGTTCAATTTGATTGAAAATATCAAACAAAATCTTAATTATCTTTTAATTGATATAAATAAATATAATAGTAATTCTCCAAATGGTAATTTTGAAGGTAGTTCAATCATATTACAAAATCTAGGACAAGCTCTCCCTTCTAAATTAGAATACATAAGTTTGGCTCTTATTATTAAAGAAAGTGATTTTAGATTATTCTTAGAAAATTCTCAAGATACTTTTGTCAATGAATTGTTAGTAATACAAAAAGGTAGTGAAGATATTTTACATTATATAAAGGAATATATTATGAAGGAAAGAAGAGTTAAGTATTTAGCAGTTGAAAATACTAAAAATAGAATAAATTTATTTGATTTGAAAGATGAAGTGAAGGAATTTAAGTTACATAATATTATAGTTCGACATCGTAATGATTTAAATATTTCCGTTAATGACTATATAAAGAATATCGATTAATTATAAAGATGAATATCATATGTATGTTAACTGAATAATTAAATTTACTTTACTAAATTTATTTTTTACAATAAATTGTTTAATTATTTATGATTATAATTTATTAAAAAATTATTCATGGCAATTTTAAAAATTTGAAATCCATTTTTAGGGAATGTACATAGGGTTGGATCAACCCGTTCTGGCCTAGGACCACTTTTGGTCTAAATCATTATTATTAATAAAAATTAGAAATGAATCGATCCGAACTTGGTCGAAAACTGGTCCGTAATATTTTTCTGTTACCGCAGCTTAATTTCTAAATAATTATAATCTTACACAATAATTAGTAAATGAAAATTTAAGATGTTAAATAATTAATTCAATAAATTATATGTTTAAATAAGGAAAAAATAGTGGGTAAATCCGACAAACTCTTTCCGCCGATCGTTCAGTCAAAAATTTTAAGAGACGAAAAAGTGTTATTAAAGAAAAAGTTTATTATACAAATACACAAAAATAACCACAAAAATGGAGTCAGCGTACAACTTTACAGAATATTGATATAGGTTAATAAAAGAAAATGAAAACCTTTTCTATTATGGCTCACGAGGTTCAATATTACACACGGGAAGAGAGAAAGGACGTGTATCAATAAGTGGAGAAGAAGATATTTTTTAGAGTCAATAAGAAAGTCAGTATTACGTCAAAAAACAACCATCAAAGATATAATATTAGGTTGTGCTAGTACATCTTACGAAATATACACCAGTGAAATGAAAAGACTTTTGAGAGAGAATGAAGAGTTACGGTTGTGGCTGCGGCAGGCACGTGAGGAAGTTAGGCGTGCAAAGGATGAAATAGGAAAAAAATTTGATATGAAGGAACAAATAATATCAGAGAAACAAGGAGCAATCGAAGGCTTAAAAAATGTGATTGTTAAGGAAAGGGAAGTGGTGAAGAAACTAAATGAGGATATATTACGAACAAAGAAATCAAAGATTGAAAATCAAAAAGGCGATCAACACCGCCAAAAAAGATAAAGAAGGGGATCACAGAGAAATTCCGGTTTTGTTTGACGATCAAGATAAAGATAAGAGAGATAAATCACGTAATATATTCTTTTACGATATACTGAAATATTGGAAAGATGACGATATTTTCAGAGAGCTTTCTAAGATAGGCAAAGTCTTTAGTATCAAAGTAAAACAGTATAAATACAAATCCGTTAGAGCAAATATTTTTTTGAACGATACCTTTGAGCTACAATTTAAAATAATTCTTTCGGTATAGGCATTAACAAACACTGGATCAGATGGTACAAAGAAGATAGTACGGTGATCGAAAAAGAGCGGGACCGTTGGCAATTGACTAGAGACTTAACTAGTGAAGAAATGGAACAATATAAGACAAATGAATACGAATTTGTAAAGAAGATAATGAATAAAGATTTTCTGCTAGCAGGTTCGCTAAGGTCCATAAAATATCGCAAAAATGGAAAATTATAGTGTATTTTAAGGATCAATAAACAACAGAAAGGGCCGTGGAAGAGTCGATCAAGCAACGCATGATGGAGAAAATTTTGAAAGTCACAGAATTAAGTGATATCAGTATGTATCAACATAAAAAAGATTTAGATAATGACAACGCTGCATCGTTGGTGGATAAGGTAGTAATAGCGGAAGAAAAAGTCGTGGATGTGATCAAGAAACATAGAATGGGGGTTGAAGAAGAATTGGATGAAGATATGGTAACGAGTAAAAAATTACAATAAGATAATGTTACCACGGACGAGGTCGTGAAAATTGTTAACGATCAAAAGAAATGGAACAAATTCAGTATGAAAAATTTAAGTCACCATCCATGATTTGGAACCAAAGTATGAGGATCTTCGAGAGATGGAGAAGATATGGAGTTGTGTAATCTCAGAGTCATTGAGGCGGCAGAATCACATGATGTGATACAAAGATACACAACGCTGAATAATGACCTTACAAAGCGTGTTAAGGAAAAGAATTGAGAGATAGATATCAAGAACATTAATGAGAAAAGGGCGACTAAAAGTCCTATGGGTAAGGAATATGCAAAAAGGCGGGGAATGGAGAGAAATAGGTTTATCTAATTAACCATAGTTGAAGTCACGTGAATCACGTTATAAAAGATTTCCAACATAAATTTAGATATAATATAGTTTAGAAATTTTCATTTTATGTTTGTTTTTATTTTTGTTTTTGTTTTATATTAGATACCTTTATTGATCTGATGCTATCGCGTCAAAATTGCAATTGATTACGTTGTAATTAAATACATGTTACCTTCGTTAAATTAGTTAAGATGAATTTTAAATTAACGTAATTATTTTACAGTGTCACGTCATTTTGATAAAATAAATACATTAATTTACCGTAATTACTAATAAAATATGAATAATTTATTAATTTAATAGTCAAAATAAAAAGGTTGGAAAAGAAGAATGGGTGAAGGTAGATTAGTATGAACTTTAAAAAAATTTTGCGTGCAGTAATCATGTCCATCCAGCGTGTGACAATGTACCATAAATGTAAAAATTTTCCGGAAAGACTCCAATAAATGATCACTTTTTTAGTTTTTATTCAAGGATAATTCAGATATGTGGACAAATTTTATAAAAAATTTTTTATAGGTTTTCAAGCTTAATAACAGTTTCTTTTCTTTTTTTTTAAAAAAAAATGTCTTTATTGAAAACCATAGTATACATTTATACAATAAAGCAATAATATGATAGTGCAACTTATCTAAAGCAAAACTATACTATTAAAACTGCGCCTAATTATTGAGACGTGTTACACACAATTAAGATTTTCTTATACCAAAAGATCTATGGCTTAGATATTTTCAAAAAAAATTTTATTTAAATTAAAATTTAAGAAACCATAGTTTGTTAACTCTTGGTCAATTATAATTCTGACCAGAATTAGGCAGTAATCATTACAAGTAATGATGATCCTTACACATTACACATTTACACATTACACACAATTAATTAATTGACACGAATTGTGCGACAATATCGGAGTTAACATTCCGAAAATTTAAAGCAAAAATGTGAATACACAAATATTTCTCTTTTTCTCTCTTCATTTACGATATGTCATGTTCAAAAATATTTTCAGGAGATTTGCCCGAATTAACTTTCAAAATTATGAAATATTTTCAGAATGATTATTCAACTTTACATTCATGCATTTTAGTTAACAGATTATGGTGTCGTTTATCGATTCCATTATTATGGGAAAATCCATTTTCAATACATACCGAAAACTATAATTTTATTGAAATTTACTTACATAGTTTAAATGATGATTTTATAACAAATAAATATAAGATCATTAATAAATCATCACATTCAAATATACTATTCAATTATCCCAGGTTTTTAAAATATTTGAATACAAATGAGTTTATTTTCTCTGTTGATAAGTGGTCTAAACTTGTTACTAGTACTACAAACTCTGAAGATATAAAAAAATTGACAGATATATGTGTATTACTATTTAAAATTTTTATTGAAAATGAAGTAAATTTACATACTCTTGAAATTGAATTCCAAAGTAATTATTATCAAACATGTTTTGGTATTATTCTTGATGAGTTAATTTTAAAAAATACAAATTTCATTCACAATATTAGAAATTTAAATCTTTATAATGTTTACAATTATGAAGAAAATTCAGTAATTAAAGATCGTATATCGCAAATGATTAATTTACAACAAAATCTTAAAAAAATTTTAATAAGTGATAGATTTTCTTTGTATCGATCATTATTATTATCAAAAGATTATAATTGTTCAAATACTTTAAATACAATCGTTTTCCATAATGTCGATTTTAAGGGTATTAACAACCTACAAAAAATATTTGAACAATTAAATGTTTTAAAATCCGTTCATATCTTTTATGGTGGTTCTTTAAATACTGGTTTTACTCAACAAATTATTAATTTAACAAAACCATTTAAGTTGAAATCTTTATTTATAAATGAGGAATTACAAATTGAATCATTACAACAATTATTACAAAAATCTGGTGATTATATAGAAAATTTCGAGTATAGTTTTCGTCCCGATCCATCATTAAATCAACAATCATTAGAATTAATTGCAAAATATTGTAAAAATATCAATTTTCTTCATTTTAATGGATATAGAGGTCGGATTGTTTATCAAATGTTCAATTTAATTGAAAATATTAAACAAAATCTTAATTATCTTTTAATTAGTAATATCAATTTTCATATTGATTGTTCAATCATATTACAAAATCTGGGACAAGTTCTCCCTTCTAAATTAGAATACATGAGTTTTTTTCTTACTATTAAAGGAAGTGATTTTAGATTTTTCTTAGAAAATTCTCAAGATACTTTTATCAATAAATTGTTAATAGTACAACATGGTAGTGATGATATTTTACATTATACAAAAGAATATATTATGAAGGAAAGAAGAGTCAAGTATTTATCAATTAAAAATACTACAAATAGAATAAATTTATTTGATTTAAAAGATGAAGTGAAGGAATTTAAGTTACATAATATTATAGTTCGATATCATAATGATTTATTTATAGACATTATTAACTATATAAAGAATATTGATTAGTTGTGAAGTTGAAATATCATATGTATGTTAACTGAATAATTAAAGTTGTTACTTTTTTAAAATTAAATTGCTTATTTATTTATTATTATGATTAATTGAAAAATTATTTTTTTAATCATGGTAATTTTATAAAATTTGAAATACATTTTTAGGAAATGGACATAGGGTTGGATCAACCCGTTCTGGTCCGGTCCGGTCAGACCGCTTTTTGTTTATATCATTATTAATAAAATTAGAGATGAATCTGTCTGTACTTGGTCGTAAACTGGTGTAATGTTTTTCTATTACCGCTACTTAATTTCTGAATAATTATAATAAATATTTAATTGTTAAATAATTAATTCAATAAATTAAATGTTTAAATAATTATATATAAATTTTGTTTATAATAATTACTAAATATATATTGTATTCGTCAAGATGAATTTTAAATTAACATAATAATTATATTTGCAGTATCACGTCTTTTGATAAAACAAATACATTTAAGTTGTTAAAAAATTACGTTTTTTCTAACTTTCAAAGAAATACGATAAATTTATTAATTTTAATAGTCAAAAATAAAGAGGGTGGAAAAAAATCGGTAAGGTAAATTACGAACTTTAATAAAAATTTTGCATGCAGTAATTAGTCCGAAATGTAGCGAAGGGCTACGCAAGGTAATGCAAATGTCCGGATATCCGTCCGACTATGTGATAATATAAACCTTAAACGGAACTTCCCTATAAAAAAATTTCTGTAAAAAAAAACTCCAATAAATGATCATTTTTCTAGTTTTATTCCAGAAAAATCCAGACGTGCCGATCAATTTTCTAAAAATTTTTTATTGGGCTTCAGGGCCCAATAATCTCTTTTTCTTTTTTTTTTTAAAAAAAAAGACTTTTTATTGAAAACCATCAAAAACGGAACCTAAAGGTATCACATTCTCAACGGTTTAAATATGAAAATATACACTTATACAAAAAAGCAATAACATAGTGCATGTGCAACCTATCTAAAACAAAACTATACTAATGATTTTTGTTTACGTAAATTTAAAACTGCGCCTAATGATTGAGACAATGAGACATGTTACATTGTTGATTGTAACACACAATGAATTGACATGACCTGTGCGACAATATCGGAATCATCACTCCGAAGGGCGTAATTTATCTAGTAGTTTGGCGTAATAATAAAATTTTGACACTTCTTCCTTTCACATTCAATTAAAATATGTCATGTTCAAAAATATTTTCAGGAGATTTAACTGAATTAACTTATGAAGTTATAAAATATTTTCAAAATGACTTGTCAACTTTACATTCATGCATTTTGGTTAACAGATTATGGTGTCGTTTAGCGATTCCATTATTATGGGAAAATCCTTTTTCAATACATACCGGAAACTATAATTTTATTGAAATTTACTTACATAGTTTAAATGATGATTTTAAAATAAATAAATATAAAATCATTAATAAATCATCACATTCAAATATACTTTTCAATTATCCCAGGTTTTTAAAATATTTGAATACAAATGAGTTTATTTTCTCTGTTGATAAGTGGTATAAACTTGTTACTAGTACTACAAACTCTGAAGATATAGTAACTGATTTAAAAAAATTGACAGATATATGTGTATCACTATTTAAAATTTTTATTGAAAATGAAGTAAATTTACATACTCTTGAAATTGAAATCTCAAGTTATCAAACATGTTTTAGTATTATTTTTGATGAGTTAATTTTAAAAAATACAAATTTCATTCACAATATTAGAAATTTAAATCTTTATTATGTTTACAATTATAAAGAAAATTCAGTAATTAAAAATCGTATATCGCAAATGATTAATTTACAACAAAATCTTAAAAAAATTTTAATAAGTGATAGATTTTCTTTGTATCGATCATTATTATTATCAAAAGATTATAATTGTTCAAATACTTTAAATACAATCATTTTCTATTGTGTCGATTTTAAGGGGATTAACAATCTAAAAACAGTATTTGAACAATTAAATGTCTTAGAATCTATTCATATCTTTTATTGCTATTCTTTAAATAATAGTTTTACTCAACAAATTATTGATTTAACTAAACCATTTAAGTTGAAATCTTTATTTACAAATGAAATATCACAAATTGAATCATTTCAATTATTATTACAAAAATCTGGTGAATATTTAGAAAATTTTGGAGATGAACCATCATCATCAAATCAACAAATATTAGAATTAATAACAAAATATTGTAAAAATATCAAATTTTTAGATTTTCATGGAACTGAACGACAGAATAGTTATCAAATAATCAATTTAATTGAAAATATTAAACAAAATCTTAATTATCTTTCATTCAATATAATTTATGATATTTATGATACTGAAATTCGATGTACTAATTCAATAATATTACAAATTTTAGGACAAGCACTTCCTTCTAAACTAGAATATTTATGTTTAAATATTTTTCAAATTAAAGTAAACGATTTTGAAGTGTTTCTAAGAAATTCTATGGGTACTTTTATTAAAAAATTATTGATCTATAACAGTCATGGTCAGCGTATTTTGCCCCTTATTAAAACATATATCATGAAAAAGAAAAGGGTTAAATATTTGGCTATTAATGAATCTTTACGACTATCGTTTAGTGATAATGTTAAGGAATTGATTTCATTGGAAGATGAAGTGAATGAATTTAAGCTATATAATATTGAAGTCCAAAGTTATTCTGGTTTATTGATTAACTCGTGTGATTATGTAAAGGAAATTAATTAGTAATTTTTATGTAGTAATTTAAAAATATCAGTTAGGAATATTCTTATATATATATATATATATATCTTATTCTAAATAATAAAGTATTCATTTATTTGTTTTTGAAATTATCAAGACATTCTTATTATTCTTATTAATTTTATCAAACAAGAAACCTTAAAATCTTTTAACAAGTGTTGAATTCTTTTAATTCTTTTAACCTGAATCTAGTATTTGAGATGTGATGATTTATGCATATTATAACCTTATTTGTTGATTACCATATATACTATTACCATATACTAAGTATTTGGATTCTCTGTTAAAGAAAAAAGGTTAAATTGTATTTACAGTAGTAAGTTTTATTAGTATATAGTCACATTGACTATTGAAAAATTAAACTTATCGAATTTCTAATTCGTTTAATAATAAAGAGGGTTTAAAATAAAAGTTGAACAATATGTTTAATATCGTCAGTGATGATATTCACGAGTTTTTTTTTTTTTTTTTTTAA